AATACATAATAATAATTTTTAAGAAGAAAAAAAAATAATAAAATGAATGCGGCTTGCACCCAGCAGCACACCCTGTGGCCAGCCTTTCCCCGGGATTAATGTATCAAAATGCTCCAATTTCGGCATTCTTTGACATATGGCGCGTGTGTGCAGACGCATACTGATACAGCTATTGTGTGCCGGCGCTGGTGAACGTGCACATGGATTTTTGCCTGGGGAGAGATGCGCCTATAGCAGAAAAAAAAAAAAGAGAAATATATATATTTTATATATACATATTTATTTATAGGCATGTGTATAAGGTTCTGGGGGTCGTTGGTTTTTTTTTTTGGTCGGGTGGGGGGTGTGTGTGTGTGTGTGTGTGCCTGGTTTCAAATCTGCCCTTTTGTAAAGCACACAAACCCGACAGGACCCTCCAGCTGTCCATAGGTACATTTCCGCAGCCAAAAAAATGCCACTTTTACAACTCTGTTTGTCTCCCTGCTATGCGGGGCTGAATAGGAGCGAACAAAACAGGACCCTAGATCTGGCTAGACGTCTGGCTTTAATTGCTTTATGGTTTAAATAAGGTGGGTGCTCTTCTCTTTGAAACCGGATTATTGGAATGTTTTGTCTACAAGCTACAAACAACAGACCCCCCTCGGACGAGGGGAGGTTCAAAAAAAAAAAAAAAAAAAAAAGAAGAAGAAAAAAGGAAAAAAAAAACCCAACACAACAAACCCAACCAAATCAACCCACAGATCGTTTCCAAAAAAACATCAGTGGATTGTCACATCCTGACCTGAACTGATCCAGTGTTTAAAAGATAAACATCCATGGAGACAACTACAGCCAAGAAAGAAGTTTAAAGAGCCTGTATAAAGACTGAAGCTAATCAAAGACATACAGAAACTCCCACTTTTGTTCCATGCCTTTTTTGCTGAAAGAATGTGAGACAAAACCTGATGTGTGACAAAAGTTTCCAACAAGGCTCCAGTTAATGGTTAAGTGTTACTAACAAGGCTACAAGGCTTCCATTTGCATGGTGGTGCCATTTTCTGCATTCTTCACACTCATTTATTTCAGGGTAAATTAATTGATTTGCATGGAATTGCTCTGGAAATTAGTATAACTCAGAGCTGGTCTGTTTGCACTTACTGGGTGGTTCTTTCCTCTCCTACGTAGACTGAAAGGAAACCCTTCAACAGAAATAAAAGGGAATTAAGGATGAAACACAATTTTACGGGTAATAAAGGTGAGCAAAAACATTGAATGAGATGTATAATGAGGATTAAAGACTTGAGCAGACTTTTTTTTTAATCTCCGCGGGGAGCGCAGAGCGGCGCTCAGGACGCGGGGAGCGCATAAATGCATAAAAATGCTTGCACAGAGAAATTTCCTATTTTGAAGTGGTTGTGGGTGGTTTATTATTTTTTTTCCCCCTTCTTTCTTTCTCTTTATTTACGCACGTCACGTATCTCTCCAAACCCTGCTCATTTTGGGGTGGGGAAGGAGGGAATGACATTTTTCAGTGAAGGTCAGGGCAAAGGGACGAGGGCGGGGGGGGATAAAATAAACTCTGGGAGGGGGTACAATGAAACACCTCAGAGTACAATACAACCGCACCGATAAAGCCACATTTAAGCGCACGCACCCGCAAGACACATCACCCCCCCACCCATCCCCACACCTAAACACGGCCAAAACAGTAAAGACAAAGAGCAGCACTTTCCCCAGACAGTAAATGTCAAGATATTTTCCTTAAAAAAAAAAAAAAAAAAAGTAGGCAATTGCATATCTCTTATTTCATGAAACCTGGAAGGGGGATGGTGGGTCCTTTCTTTCAGTGCCACTGAAGGCAAACATTTCTTTCCCAGCTCAAGGTACGGTTCTGAAAGTCTCCCTGCACCTTTGCTGGCTGCAGCCAGGGATAAAGATTGGAAAAAATGTAGCGGTTCTCCCAGATCCCAACCCCAACAGCCCAGATCCGACAACTTTATAATTTTTTTTTAATTTTTTTTTTTTTTTTTTGCGCTTTAATTTACACCACGGCCGCATTTATCGCATGGGCAGGCGCTGGGCTTTTAAAAATAGAAATGCTATTGATTAGAGGAGGAAAACGGTCACCTCGGCTATTAGCTGTTAATTAAGGAGCCTCTGTCCCTAGTTGCTCTTTTCTTCTTTTTTCTTTTTTTTGGAGGGGTTTCTCCAGGGAAGGGGTAATGTGGGGAAGGGGGGGGCATGAGATGGGCGAGTTCTCCTGTAAAAATGAATATGGTCATCGCGCCGTCCTCGAGATTATTCGGGTATGGAGACTATTCCTCCACAGCAAACGTAGCTTGATTTTAAAAAATGTTTTCACAATAGACGGTGGGAAAAAAATCACTGTTCTCCTCCATAGTTCATTGTCTGCTTAGAGTGGAGGAAAAACCCACCACATGTAGCCTTTCTAAATGGAAAAATACACCCTGGATTTATGAAAACCTAATAAAGGTGGACTGGGTGGCTACTGGGTCTTTTCCTCTTCTTGGGAAGGAGTCTGAAAACAAAC